GAAATTTCTTACTTCCATCTCATTCTTGTCAAGAAATTTATAGTTCCCTTTCGCTACTCTAAGTTTATCAAAAACTCACATTCTTCTAAACAAAACTTGCCAGGTAAAAATCCCATATACTTCAGCGCTTCAATTGCAGCAGATGCACCAGTGTTGAAGAGAGCAACAACATAAACACCTTAGCCTGCGAACAGGCTCTCGAGCTGAATTGAGAGCCTGCATCGATGACTAATGAATTTGAATATCTGCCCCGTAACGTTCGTTTTTCCAAATATGGAATGTCTATCCTTATATGGTGTTGTTTACAACTTTCGTGCAAACTAAATTTAGACCGTGCAAACTAAATTTAGACTGTACAGTTTATACTGTTTTTCGAAATATAAGATATTCAAGCAAAAGTTCAAATGTTTTAAATACTGTTTTCTCAAAACAGAACATTTCGTGCTTTGAGATAAGACGGCCAAGACCAATTTGATCAGTTAATGTGTTTTTTTATGCATAATTCAGCAGTTGACATATATAGAGCTCAGCGGAAACATATAAATTATAGCATCTGACCAATGAGAATTTCGCGTCACGATTTGAGACTCAGATATTCAAATTCATTAGTCATCGATGCAGGCTCTCAATTCAGCTTGAGAGCCTGTTCGCAGGCTATAAACACCTAAACAACAAATACTTGTTTTGCTACACGAACCCAATTCATGGCATTGAACGACTCATTTTGATTCCGGGTTTTCCCATCAAGGCATCATTCCAACAGACTCTTCTCACTCAATCGATCAAATATTGGCTTTACCTTGCCTGTGGAGACTAGTTGTTGATGAAACTGTTCGTTTGCCTTTTGGTGCAACCACTTTAACCGGTTTGTGGACGCATGTCAAACCACTTTCATCGCAGTTGAAAATTTCATGTGGTTTAAAGTTATGCTTATCAACCACTGCTTTTAAATTTCCAAAGTATCTATTTACAAAAACTCTGTTCAGACCAAAAACACGAATCATTGAAATCGATTCTGGCTTTCGAGGAGATAATTTATAGGATGACGCTTGAGAAAACCATTCACAAAGTCACGACCATTGATAGATAGACCATAGAATACTTGATCCATCTTAGTAATGTGATTCTCCAACGCTTTCTCTTGATCAAGTGT